AAATTAAACTTTACTGTAGAGTTACAAGTACATTTATATATATGTTGCTGCATCACTTGAGTAGTTAAATTGTATTTCAAGACAGTGAAGAAAAATTGAGACATGTATATACTGTTCATTATTGTTTATATTAAGTCTTGTTTTAAATATGTATTATGTGTACATATTGTTTGCAGACATTATTGTTTATGCCTTAGGAGGATGGTAGCATTTTATTTTAGTCTTAAGGTAATTATAGCTCTATGGCTTGTACAGTAATTATCCTCTACCAACACTGTGGAGTCTCCTTAATCTTGGTAGTGCCTGCCTTTAAAACAGGGTGTAGGGGATATTAGTTTTCCATTTTTCTATTTTGTTATATAATTTCAAGCCACCACGGCCTCAAATTCAAGTATAATCATTTGTATCCATGTGGAAGAAAATTGTGACAATTTCCTACGCACACAGTATTTTTTCATAGAAACATTTCCCTCCATTTGCCTTGCCACAGAATAAGACATTTGTAACCACTGTGTTTTATCTACTGTGTGTTGTGGTGGCCTGTTGGGGCAGATAGATCAGAATTTTTTTTTGTACTAATGTAAGAGTACTTGAAGTTTTATTTAAAAGAAATGTGGAAAGGTAGCATTCTTTTTCTTTTCCTTTTTTAGGAGTGTTATTTTTCACTAGTATGTGTGGCACGGATACAATAAAAGACTGTTTTGCAAACCAGATTTTCTTGGCAATTTTAATACTTGAGCTCCTGTGTATACAGGTGTTTTATTTTTTAGTATCTTGGGAGTCTTGCATTTAGCACTCTGTTCTTATGGTGCATCTCATTCTCCTGGCCTTTTGATGGTGTTTCCAAAGGAAGCAATTGCCTTTGCCAGCAGTCAGAGAGCAGGTCCCACTTGCAAGAATCCTGTCAATAACTGAGGGAGGCCTCAGGGTGTCCCCAGGGCTGGGGTGGCACTGCCCTTATGGTGGGAGTCATGCCATGGAAACACACACTATGGATAATGTGTCTGAAAACCACTGTAGATTTAAAGTTTTGTCCCTTTTTTGGCCTGTAGAAGGTCATTAGTCATAATCCTTGCTCTGACTGAAGAAAACAGAGGAATTGCAAAGGGATATTGTGGAACACCAGTACTTACAGCTCTGTCATAAAGCAGTGTTGGGAGGGGTGTTTTTTGCTTTTAAACTAGGCCTGCCACGTTTGAGCCTTGGAGCCTTGGTTTATATCAGCCTTGCTGTCTTGTCTCTTCTATCAAAGAACAGTCAGTGCCTATTTTTTTAATGAAATGTTTTTTTCTGTTGCCCTCCCCAGAATATCTTGTTCAATGATATTTTTCTTTTCTGAAGTCTTGTTAGAATAATCTGTTATTACCTAGAATAAAAAAATTACATCTGGGTGTCAGGCAGTTTTGCATTCTAACATGAACTCCCCCAGACTGCTCCACAACTTTTCTTTTCACGACCTTTGTGAAGATTTCACTAAAAAGGTTTGCTGACATGTACCAGAGATGTGAAGATTAATCAGTGTTGTGCATGTGTGATGCTAAGCTTGCTTAGATAAATGCGAAAACTAATTCTTCCATGAAAAACAATCTCAAATTCTGTACTGGACAATGCTTTGTCTGCCCTACTAGATCTGTCAGTTTTTTGAAATGTCAGAGCCAGTTACCAGCAACACTACACACATAGTTGGATTTTTTCAGCTTGTATCCTAATTCAGCTCAACGGCTGGGAAGCTGAAAGCAGGAACAGCTGCTACGGTGATGCCGGTGAGACAGGTTTCCGGCAGTGGATCTCACGGTGTGCAAATAACGTGCTGTAAAACAGAACGCAAGATGGTACAGACTGAACACGGAACGGAGATTATTGCATAGCAGGGAATGCGTCCTAGGCATTCCCTAGTGACTGAGGAAGTGTCTGTGTCTTCCTCAGAAAAAAGTAGGTGCGGTGATAAACCGTTTATTTTGCATGAGTTGCTGAGCGTGTAAGTGGATGTGTCGCGGCGATGGTGTGAATTTCTGACGTGCTGGGAGAGCTGTTTGTTCAGCTCCCTTCGCGCCGCTCCCCAGCCGCGCCAGGGCGGGCTCGGGCTCGGGTTCGGTGTCAGAGCGGAGCCGGCGGGGCCCGGTTCTGAGGGTGCGGCAGCGGCCGGAGGTCGGGTTCGCCGCCATCTCCTCACAGGTGGCGGCAGGGCCCGCCTCACGCAGCCACAGCGCTGGCAGGGGTGTGCGGCCCCGGGGAGCCGCGGGAAGGGCCGAGAGCTCCACGACCCGCTCCCGCGCCGCCTGAGGGCCGGGGCTGCCGGCGGCCGGGGCTGCTGGCGGCGGGCAGAGCGACTGACGCAGCGCCGGCCCCCCCCGTGGCCGGCTCGCCGTGGGGCGGCCCCGAGCGGGGCGAGGCGGCCCGGGCTGCGCCACGCCGAGAGGGCGGGGGGGAGCGCGCGTGCGCAGCGCCCCGGGCCGTGCGGGGCGGCCGAGGCCGGAGGCTCCGCCGGAGGTGCGGGGGCGCCGGGGGCGGGGGGCCCAGCCCGGCAGGGAACCGCCGGGGCTCCTCAGCGCCGGCCGGGAGCCCCTGGAGTTCCTCAGCGCCGGGCAAGGTGGTGTTGACGCGCCACTGGAGCTCGGGGTGACCCCGCCGCCCTGCCGAGAGCGGTGGGCTGTGTGGGATGGGCTGTGGGCCATAGTGACAGGGAAGGGGCTGTCAGCCGTATCGAGAATTGCTGTAGCTTCTCGTGTGGGCAGCTGCTGGGGGCTTACGGATTTTGAAAAAAATACGTAATTGCCAGAGGAGGTGACGCCGTGGTGCTGAACATCTCTCTGGTGACGAACGCTCTGGTGCTCCTCGCTCCTTCGGCCAGTTTATTGATACTGAAATATCTCGTTCCTAGGTTTGCTTTCCTGCCGTGAGCTCCTGAAAGTCTCCTAACAGTGAGATTAAGGTCGCTTTTTTAGCCTCACCTTTCCAGATGTCAAGCTTTGTCTGACTCTTCAGTTTCTCATAATTGAAGAAAGTATGTTTATTTTCTTTCTGCAGATCAAACATGTTATTGACACTGCTTCATCTCTTTGATTCTTTTAAAGAGAATAGTAGTAAAACTGAGAATCCTGAAGCTACAACAGGGAGTATTCAGTGATTTGGTCTGTAACTAAACTGGCCTGCCATACACTGCCTGAGGAGAACAGGGGTTTTGCCTTTATATGTACCTTTGTGTCTGTATGTGTACATACATACCTCTGCATGTATGCATGCATATATACAGATTTGTATGTCCACATACATACAAATACGTGCACATAAATTTATATGTTTTTCTAAAATGTATGAATATGTATGGTTTTATTTTGCAGATGCCTCAGCATTGAAATGATTCAGAATCAAATACTTATCTAAACCAGCAGACTCTTATTTAACTCAGTGTAAATAGTATTACTGCTTTTGTTCATTATAAACATCTTTTTAGACTTGTGTAAACACTTTTTGCTTTGGCTCAATGCTTCCTTTTTCTCGGGAAGCTTGACTCTGATCTGCAGCATGGGAGTAACTGGTTGGGATGTGCCTTTCTGGGGATTTCCCAGACTTCAGCAGTGTAAATTGCTTGTCTGACACTGCAATTTTAACTACTGGGAAAATGTGTGTGATGTACATATTTTCTTCTGCTGTTCTGCATAGGAGCAAATGCAATTTCCTGAGAGGTTCAGCTTCTGATTACCCAATTAATGTTCACATTTTGACTTAAATGTTTTAGTCAACTCTTGTCAAACCTCAGACTGCCAACAAAAGCCGTGATGTTTTGCCATCACTACTGTTGCTGTCTGTGAAAGGAAGCAGAAGGAAGCTCCTGGACAAATTCAAACACAAAAGAAAGGATGGAAGCAAGGACAGGTAGCCTGGGAGGATACAGAGAGGTTGTTCGAGCAGTCAGGAATCAGGTTGGGAAAGCTAAAGTCCTGACTGATTTAAATCCAGCCAGGAATGTCAAGGGCAACAAGAAAAACTTCTATAGGAATATTGGTGATAAAAGGAAAGCTAGACAAAATGTGAGCCTTCTCTGAAAAGAGACCTGGTTACTTGGGACATGGAGAAAGTGGAGGGACTCAATGGCTTCTTTGTCTCTGTCTTCACTGTGAGTTCCAGCCACACACTAGAAGAAGGCTGGAGGGGGACTTTTTACGAGGGCATATAATGATAGAAGAGGGAATGGATTTAAACTGTGAGTAGGGTTAGATTAGAGATTAGGAAGAAATTGTTCCATGGGAGGGTGGGGAGGCCCTGGCACAGGTTGCTCAGAGAAGCTGCAGCTGCTCCATCCCTGGAAGTGTCCAAGACCAGGTTGGACAGGGCTTGGAGCAACCTGGGATACTGGAAGGTGTCCCGGCGCATGACAGGGGGTGGAACAGGATGAGCTTTAAGGTCTCTTCCAACCCAAACTGTTCTACGATTCTATGCTTAAATGATGCTTAGATGAAAAAATTGCCTTTGCAAATGAATTTTTTTTTTTTCCCTGGAGAATGTCTTATTAAGGGAGTGTGTTTCATTTCTGAAACAGGGAAGTTAAGTCTGACTGTTGAACTCTTTTTCAGATTCTTTTTTTGAAAATGGCAACATTAATTCACAGTTTATCAGATCACAGCGATGATGTCAACTACTGCGCCTTCTCGTCGTCGTGCTTGGCTACCTGTTCCTTGGACAAAACGGTTCGTGTTTATTCCCTGAGCGACTTCGCCGAGCTGCCGTACTCGCCGCTGCGCGGCCACGCGTACGCCGTGCACTGCTGCTGCTTCTCGCCGTCGGGCCGCGTGCTGGCCTCGTGCTCCACGGACGGCACCACGGCGCTGTGGGACACGCGCGACGGCCGCCGGCTGGCAGTGCTGGGGCAGCCGCGCGCCAGCCCCGTCAGGGTGTGCCGCTTCTCCCCGCGTGGAACCTGCCTGCTGGCGGGGGCCGCCGACGGCAGCCTCGTGCTCTGGAACGTCCAGTCGCTGCAGCTCTACAGGTCAGTGCCAGTGCTTTCCCCCGGGTACGCTGGTCTGCAGACTGTAATTTGAGTAGCGTGCTGTGCTGTGGACAGGACTTGCAGACTTACGCTGCCAGTGGGTATCATGAAGAAATGGGGAAATTATTTAGAAGACCCTAAGACTGGGAGAAATGCTGAGTCTTTTTGGGTATTTTTGGTGGATTTTTTTGTTGTTATTGGGTTTTGGTTTTGGTTGGTTGGTTGGTTGGCTTGGTTTTGTTGCTTTGGGTTCTTTTGGGGTTTTTTTATGTTAATGCAAACTCAAGAGGCTTTGATTTTTACTCATTTATCTTGCATCTGAATCCCAGTCTTTTTAAAAGTTCATTTCATTCATTTAACATGAAATCATGATGCCTTGTGTACTGCATTGCATCTGATTTCTAAACAGCGAGTCAGCAAACTGTGATACATAATATACAGTTAGTTAATGGAACCTGACTGTACTGTGTGCTCTATATTGCATTATACGTAGTGGTGTAAATTAAATATTTAATTACTAGGAGTTTGGAGTCCAGGAGGGTCTTAGAAGCTTGATAGTAATCCACAATCAGAGTTTGGAAACTATGGACGTGTCCTGAAACCATACAATTTGAGACATAACAGTGGCAGAAAGGATTATTGGAGCTAAATGAGTTAAGTATGACATGGGTTTCCAAGAAGCATTTGAAACAAAGCAGATGAGCATATTTATTGATGTTGCACAGTTAAATGCATGAACCTTAGAGTGATCTTCTAAGTCCTCCTCTACATCTCTGTCTTTCAGGAAAGTCTTCAGGCCAGTTGTTGTAATCTGTACTTGGACAAGACATTATTTAGGTTTTAGAGCTGCAATTCCGCAACGACTCCCCAAAGTTCGGAAAGTAGTAAAGGATTGAGCGAATTGAAGTTTCACTTAGGATTGGAGGAGCAGCCATTTGAGAAAGCCAAGGTTGTTTGATGTTGGTAATCCCTCGTCAAGCATATTACTGCTTTTGTGGCCTTCTGCCTTTGCCTTCCACAGCAGTGATTTAGATGGGAACTGTAAAATTTTTCAAAATTAATTATTATAGTTACTTGAAATAGTGTAAATCTGAAAATTTGTCCATAAACAGAATTCTTATAGATTTTTGCCCCTGTGGTTTTTCTAATGCATAAAGACACGCTGAAATGGTTATTTTGTTTTCAGACAATAGAGAGGTAGTAATTACATATTTTTTCTCATTTTTATCTTTTAGAAAAATTTGGAATTTCAGTCATTATTGTTCTGAACTGTAAGGGTTTATCTGTTTTGAGATATTACTAGTGAATAGTTTTTTTTTTTATTCAGAATGCTTGTTGCTGAAGGGAAAACCACAGAAATTTTAAAAAGTAATTTCTTACAAGTGTGTGCTATTAATATATGCAGTGATGCACGTTTTAGACCTACGTCCTTGATTTCCTTCTAATTGAATGGTGAATATATAGTATTCAGTATAGTGGCTATGTAGAAACTATGCTGTTGTTATAAACAAATTATTTTTGTTAGCGTTGTAGAGAAATAAGAAAGAACTTGGACATCGCAATCCTGTCCCCTTCAACTATTAAAAGTTCATTTCAGAGTATTAACAGGCCAGCAGTAGTCAGCTTAACTTTAATTATATGTATTTTGGGATGTGTATGTGTGTATCTATTTTCAGCTGATGAATATTTTTTATTTTCATTTGTAACTGCAGATAGAAAAATGCACATGCCCTGTTTTTAAAAGCTGAGATCGGTATCACATAGAAATTATCAAGGTACTTAAAAATTATGCCAGAGGATGTTAGTTAACCATTTAATGTCAGTCTGTGGTCCTCTGGTTCTTTTGCAACAGTTGTTGTGTTGATGTTGAAGAAGAGAACACCTTTTACTACACTGTTATGTCACTTGACCGAATATGTGGATGGTAATTAGAACAAGGGTAGCCAGTTATTCCTTATCTGCTCTGCTGTTGTAATTGACTGTTCAAGTTGTGAAGTAAGATGGCTATTTAAATAATCTCTGTGATGGATGTGAACAGCATGAAAGCAAGTTAATTTATGTGTGTTTCTTAGTGGTCCCTATTTTCTGTTCAGTAGTTCTCATGCTAATATCTGGCAGACAAGTCTTAAATGCATACTCTGAACAGGTGCAGCACTGTTTATGTTACTGTTATGTTTTCAGAGCAAAATCTGCAGCTTTTTGTGTGAAAGAAGGAAAGTTTTAAAAGCTCCACTAAGGAAAAAGGATTCTACATATGAAAATGGGAAGCATTGTAGTGGATTTGACAGTATTCTTAATGATGGAATTAAGGGAGTCAGTGCTTTTAGAAGCACTTGATTAGCAAGACTCTCAGGGAAAGTTATTGACTTCTGTGACATTAAGTTTGATACCTCTCACAGTAAATAAAATTTCTATGAGCAAAAGAGAATGAGCAGCTTCTACAAGATACAATGACAGAGTAAATAAGACAGACATTTCTTGCTGTCTTCCTGCACTTATGGGATGCTGGGCTGGATCTGCTGTCCATTAAAAGGAGTGAGACACTTTGAGTTGATTTTACGTTATTATCAGATAGGGTAAAGGATGTCAGGTTGACCCCACTTCCTTCCTGAGGATTGACCACACTTCTGTATCTGCTAGAAATTTTCTTTAAAGATCAGTTTTACAAAGTGCTTTGGCTTAGTTAAAATAGAGACTTTTTTCCACATTACTTTCTCTTGTATACATGTTGTTCAAAATTAACCCTACATCATAAATCACAAAGTATTCTTCTCAACTACAGCTTATGATATGGGTTAGTAGGTGTTCTGTTTTGTCTTTAAAAACAGAACAGAGGAATTATGGGAATCTTTTTGCCTTGTTTGTGTACATGTAAATCTGTGTTATATAGTGTGCATTTATTTTTGACTTTTAAAATGTACCCTACTGTAGAATGTTACTTTTAAATGTAAAGTCCATGCAAGTAGTTTGAAAATTCTCTCAGTTAAAATTATTGCCTTGGGGTGCCATCTGACATTTTTTCTCCTGCAGTCAAAGAGCAGGTGTGTTCCCTGCTGCAGTGCTTATTTGGCATTTCTTTCCATAGTTGGGTTGAGTTTCTCTTCCCTCTATTACCAAGACCCAATGTGCAAAACTGAGAACAGTTTGGCTTAATGTGTCAGATGGTGTTTGATAGATCACTTATTCAGAATTGTACTTATTCTAAATTCAAATCCTGTGTACTCTTGCTTTTTAGGTCTGGAAATGTTAAAGATGGTTCTTTGGTGGCTTGTGCATTTTCTCCCAGTGGGAATTTCTTTGTCACTGGATCATCAAGTGGTGATTTAACCATTTGGGATGATAAAATGAGATGCCTGTATAATGAAAAAGCACATGATCTTGGCGTTACCTGCTGTGATATTTCTTCAGATCCAGTATCTGGTTAGTTACTTAATTCATCAGGGGAGAAAAACTTAAAAAAAAAACCCAAAAAACAAAAAGCCAAAAAAAAGTTTTAGTTCTTTCTAGCTCTTCTTTTCATATTATTTTTGTTATCGATGCTCAAAATACAAATGACCTTGGGAAAAGTTGATGTTTTAGAGTATTGTGAGTACTTTTAAGTAAAAGTTGAGGTCAGGCAGGTGGCAAAGAATGTACTAGGTCAATAAACAAGGTGATAACTTTGAGAACTACTGAACTGTAGAGAAAATTAGTATAACCACAGAATTAAAGTTAAATGAATATGTTGGTGCACACAGGAGAATCAGACATTTACCATCAAGAAAACTTAAAATATGAGCACAGCACTGGTCTTTATCTACTTGTTCAGAAAACAATATAACAGTGATACTGATTTCTTTCTTCTTAGCAATTTTAGAACTTCTACAATGATTTTTTGCTGATGTAGTTTACTGGTATGCTGTTATTTTCAATGTTTCTGACTCCCATTAATATATTTTAGTTTTATCAGATAATGAAAATGGATTCAAATACTTCCAGATGGTTTCTTGCGGACAAGATAACCAGATCAAACTCTGGCTTATTTTGTTTGCAGATTTCTTAGGTAGGTACGGCAATGTTTTTTTCATATACCAATGTCTTAAGTCTCTTGTGACAGTTTGAAAATCAAAGATGAAAATTATACTGCTGGACTCACAGCCCAACCAAGCACAAGTTGAAAGTTTTCTGAACTATTAGCTGGAGAGCAGCTGAGACATTCACCACTTGATGATGCTGCACCGTGTAGATTTTATTTAGCCATCTATTTATCAATAACAGTATAAGTAAAGATTTTAAAAAAATTCTATTGTGGCCTTTGAACAGGTCAGTAGGTTGAAACCTCTTAATCTGCCAGGCCACGGAGAGGTTTGCTTTCATGTTTCAGTATGTCCTGGGCCTTGAGCAATTGCTGGAGAAATGAAGAGTGTTGGTTCCTGCTAAAACTGCAATGTAGCGACAGGGTAAACAGCCAAAAACATCTACAATGGGTACTTTTTTGTAATCTCTTTTATAGAAACGTCTGCAAGGATGAATAGTGTGTGTACAGATACACATTTAGTATCTAAAACACTGTGAGATATGCTAAGACTACAAAGTGAGGGAGTTGGAGATGTTCAAATGAAGTTGTCTCTGCGATCTTTGTAGGTAGTATGTCAGAGAGTCACATCTTTGGTGGAGCTTTATGCTTCTAAAAGCAGCTTGTGTTGTACATTGTCAGATTTGCCCGTATGTAATAATTTCCTTTTTGTACTTTTAGGTGTTGAATTAAAACATAAATGCACATTGAATGGACATTCTGCCCCAGTTCTGGCTTGTGCATTTTCATACGATGGGCAGATGTTGGTCTCAGGGTAAGCAGCACCTTGTGCTTGAGGACAGCAGGAGGAAGTGAGGGCAGGCTGAGCCGGGGCTGAGGGGAGGGCTGGCTGAGGGAACAGCGAGAGCCGCTGGCTTGGGGGGCTCCCAGGGCTCCAGCCCAGCTGGAAGGGGAGGGGAGCTCACAGCAGGGGACTCTGCATGGTCACACTCAAAGGGCTGGTTGTTGCTCAGCAGCAGCTCGTTGCTAGTGGCTTTCCTCAAGGGATGAAGCTGTTGAGAGAGGAAGTTATAATTAAGGTAGGTATAATCACTTATGTTTTTGTGGATATTAGTGACTGTATGCCTTTACTCTGCTCTTCTCATGAAAGGTATTTATTCACTTCTAAACTAAGTGGTAGCTTGAAGTAGCAAATACAATGGTTCCACTCTAAATTTTAACTGTCTTATTTACAAAGACTTTCTAAACTAAAAGGCTGATGCCTTGCAAAGGACAAAGACTACAATTGCCAGCAAATAAAATTAAAACTAAACAAACCCCAGGAGACATTTTGCTTTATATTCTTTCTAAGGGAGTCTTTTTCAGTATTTGAAGATCATTATTAATGTTTGTGATGTAGTGTTATTTTATTTTCCGTTAGATGTACAGATTGTTTTCACTTACATTGTCATAAGTAAAATGTCTATCCCATAAAATCTTTCAAGAAATACTGCTGCCATGGTAAATAATTGTGCAATTTGTATTTCATGAAATATGTATGTACTGGTTGCATTGCACAGCTATATTTTCTGTATTGCATGACACTACTTCCACTGGCTTGCTTTGCAAATGGAAAGGTCTCAAAAAGAAAAAGAAGGACTGAGAGTAGGTCTTGGACAGCCAGACTGTGCATTTGTTTTACAGACGCTGCTTGCAAAGACATAAAGTAGACACATGGTAGAGACAGTGAGGGCCAATTTGCAAAAGCACTGTGCAAATCCTTTGCCTCGGGAATTCTCTTGCAAGAGCAGAGTTTTCGTATTGGCTGGTTTTTACATCACACTGGTCAGTCTTATTTAAGGTGGGCACTGGTGGAGGGGAGACAGATATCTAAACTTTGCATCAAGTGTTGTTAAGAAATCTGATCTTGTTTGCAGAAAAGGTTTTTCCTCCTTTCTTCATGAAAAAGTTTCTTTTCTCTCTCTGCTTCATTTTAATGTCTGTATTTTTTTTAAAGGTCTGTGGACAAGTGTGTCATAATCTATGAAACTGTAAGTATAGCATAGTGCAAACCATTCATTGGGTCGTTGTCTTTTAATGTCAGCACTGCTTCTGCAATGTCTTATCTCCGTAAAGGAATATTGAAGATAGAAACAGTATAATCTCAAAGTATTTACTGTGTGTCTGGGGGGAGGAGTTATCTAAGGAAAAGTCTCTTGAGAATTGATCAGTCTTTCTCACTTTTTATCTACATTTTGAGGATTTGTTGATTTCTCTACAGTAGGATATTATTCAATTAATTTCATACTTACAAGTTATGTTCATATTGAAGCAGAAGGACTTTTTGGATATCCCAACATACTTAGCTTCCAAAGCAAGGAGGACTGTAGCTTTTGACATAAAATCGGGAATGGTGATCATAGAAATTCTTTAGTTAATTATATATAAAGTGCAGATAAAAGAGAAGCATAATAATTCAAGAAAATTATGTTAAATACAGTATCTTCTCTTTAAAACATACTGTTGAAACATTTTCTATAATAATGTTATTACATCCTTTGTGGTTCACCTTTAAGTGCTATTTACCACTAGTACTTTCTAGTATTAAAAAAAATAATAACTTTGCTGAAAATGATGAATGAATTTTAAGCTTCTTCAGCTTACTCTGCACATAGCTATTGTATTGATACAGTTTTTAAATTACTGTTAAAGTTTTTCACCCAAATCACTAATATGATACCCGCACAGCTTTTAGTCCAGTTATTTTAGTAGTCTGAAGTTTAGACAGGTATGTAAGAAGTCCTCTAGAGTTTTGGAACTTCAGAAAAATAAAATATGCAGCAAACCACAGCATAAGTATTTCTTAATGCTGTTTGTCAGCTTTTGTGGCCTTTTAGGTTTTTATCAGATAGGACAATAACTTTTCTAGTTGTGGATTCTCCTCTGGAGATACTCAAACCCTGCCTGGACACCTGCTCTAGGTGACCTGCTAAAGGTACTAGGTGATCTCCAGAGGTCCCCTGTGATTTTGTGGGGAAAAGTGGGGACTTTTAAAAAGCCTTCATGGGACAGAGAGAGATTTCAGCCTAAAATAGGGCACTTTGATCACGCTGGGCAGCTCAAACTACTGGAGTGATGGCTAATCAATTAGTGATTCAGAGTAACTTTGCTCATCATCTTCCCAATTTGTCTGTACCTGTCAAAAAAAGGTATCTTTTATAAGAGGGGAAATCTTTCAATCATAAATCAAAACTGTGGAAATTCAGGATTTTGGTTTTTTAGTGATATTTAGTGGCCAAATAGGAGAACCACTGCTGTGGTTAATTATTGGTCCAGTTGAAGGATTGAGGTCTGAATCTCTTCCCTTTTGGTCATTTCTAATACCAGATTTGTAACAGAAATGTTTTTATCCACACGAACGGTCAGCCAGTATGGATGTAATTCATTCAGCTGTGTTTCTGGCACGGCCCTCCTGCATGTTCCATGCTGGCTGATTGGGAAGGGTAGCAGTGCCCCAAGGAATCCAGGGGGGGCTTCAAGCAGGAAATTCAAGTTGCATTTCTGCCTCTACTGCTGATCAGCTTTGTCAGGGCTGTGTAACTTCTCTGAAGGTAACTTGTGTCACCTTTCAAGCAACAATATTCCTTACTTTGAGAGGAAGCATACAAAGGAAGAAATGTTCTTTTTAATCTTGAAGATTTAAACTTACAAAAACTCTTTTACAGAGTACTGGCAATACCCTTCATAGTTTGTGTCAGCACACCAGGTAAGAATTCAATATGATTATTCTGTTTCACTGTTAATAAAAGAAATGAAATCTTTTTCTTGTGAATTTTCAGTGGTTTTTTGATTTTATTTGCAGATATGTTACAACTTGTGCTTTTGCACCACACAGTCACTTACTTGCCACAGGCTCAATGGATAAAACTGTGCACATATGGCAGTTGGACCTTAAGCAACCCTCTGCAGGTCAGTGTGTGAAGTATTTGTAATCTGTTTGTTAATTCAGAGCACCTTCTGAAGATGCAACCCCCCCACGTTCTTACCTGCAGTTAATAAGTTAAATAAGCTCAGGACTTTGTGCCCATTACTGGTCTTTGAACTGACCTGATTGAGGTCCTACAGAGGTATTTATTTTTTAAAGGAAAATATACTAGATGTATCCTAATTTGATACATTGCTCTCTGGACAGCATTTAAGAGATGAATATTATTGCCAGAGTGCTGAAAGACTTTTGGACAGACATCATTTGTGATGAGTTAACCAAAAAACATGCTAATTGCAAGGATAATTGTCAACAAGAAAAAGAGTTTACCAGTTGTTAAAGGTGAGAAAAACCAGGATAACTACTGTTACAAAATACATCAGCACCCAAAATTTGTGGAACACTGGTACATATGACCTTGTTCAAAGCACAAGAGTAAGTTTGGGCGTTAGTTTGCTTTCTGAGGAGGTCTGAGATTATTCCAATGTCTGCTGACACTTTTCTGGGTTTTAGTTATTCAGTTCAGATTTTACAGACATGTGGGCATCTGAGAGATTAAATTCCTCTAAACTTTGAAAATTGATAGGTAAAAGACAAAAATTATTGTGTTTCTACCCCAAAGTAATGTCGAATAAGCATTTCTTTTATTAGATGGGGAACGTATAGTACTGAGAACACTTAAAACCATTAATGACATTGTTTCTTAGAACTGGGGGGTTTCATTGTTGTGTTTGGTTTTTTTGTTTGTTTGTTTGTTTTTTTTTTTTTTTTTTTTTTTTTTTTTTTTTTTTTGTGTGTGTGGTTTTTTTGTTTTGTTTTGTTTCATTTTGATTGGGGATTTTTTGGTTTTTGTTTGCTTGTTTTGTAACTGTCTTTTTCATTTCCAAAGGAAATACTGTAGAAACTGAATCAAAGGTGGCTGTTGAGGACTGGTCAGAGGATGATGTTTCAGCCTGGCTCTGTGCACAAGATTTAGCAGACTTTGTTGGGCTTTTCAAAATGAATAACATTGATGGCAAGGAGCTACTGAATCTTACTAAGGAAGGTCTTGCTAATGAATTGAAAATTGGTAAGAGTATGGAAATCCAAATAGTTTTTAATCTTTAAAGTACTTTGAAATGTTGTAATAAAAGAAAGTTAGGAGTTCCATACATGGATTTCCCCCCACCCCAGAAATGCCTTTTTATTTCATTACCATGGGTTTGTGTGTGTGTTGACCTGGTCTGTATGAGATCACAGTATCCCTGTGTATCATCAGGCAGCTTTGCTGAATTCTAGAAATAACAGGTGCTGGGAATCTGACAGATCTGTCACCCATGAAAGACCCCTGCTTTCCTCAGTTTCTGCACCTTGTCCTTAGCATTGAAGTAGCCTAAAAGTCTGTTGCAGCATCACCAGCTGAGGCCAATCAATTAACACTGACTAGGAAGTCCTGTGAGAACTGAATGTATCAATGACCTGCTGAAAACAGAGGTCTCTGTGGGGAAAGGAACCAACTAAGGTATAAAAATTATGGCCTGACAAAACTGACTTGAAGAATTGCTCTCTACCTGCCATGGCTCAAGCACTTACAAAATATGAAAATACTATCTGCCCAAGATGAATAAGATTTTCAGTGCTACTCAAATCACAGTTTAACTGAATTTTAGGAGTTTATCATCACACAGCCACTGCTGCACCTATGTTGGTTTTACTGGTTGTTTTCCTCAGGTTCCTGTTGGGCAGTGGGAGAGACATCCTGGGCTGGGCTGGCTGCAGGTTTTTGGTTTGGGGGCAGTGAGATGGAGCTGTGTCTCCTGTAGTAGCTGCTGACTCTTTGCCCTACCTGTCTATGCTGTCCACTTCACGTATAAATAATTTTTCAGAGTCTCTAGGCCTGCGCAGTAAAATTCTCCAGAAGATTGAAGAACTGAGGATGACAACGATCTCAGTTTCTGTTCCTGATGAGTTCCTGTGTCCCATAACAAGGGAGCTTATGAAGGATCCTGTCATTGCAGCAGGTATGTCTTTGCATGACATTGATTAAAATTACTTGAGGATAAAGACAGGTGTGGGAACACAAGAATGGGCCTGTCTTATCAGAAAGATAAATTATTCTAAATAGATGTTGCAACAAAACAGAATTGTGATGTTTAATTTGCCAAATGACATCTCTGATAGGGAGAAAAACACTGTATCAAGCAATTTTTCTTTTTTTTTAATGTGCCTTAGCAAATACAATTACAAGCCTAATTACATCTTTGGCTTGATAAGTGCAAAGTAAGTGCACACAGGGGGGCAAAAAGCCAAGGAAACCCTGGCTCACTACTACTTGGCACACCATCTCTAGGGCACTTAGAAATTTGTACTGAAGGAGACTCCTTTAAATTCAGCAAGATCTTTGAACTGTGATAGGCAAGGAGCTTAAGATGTTCTACAGGTAAAAAATTGTATGAACTAGTGCTTAATAGTTCTAATCTTGGGGGTGGGGAGGGGGCACACAGTCATGGGAAGATCAGTGTAAGTTCTTTTGATGCAGTGATTGATTAACTTCATCCCAGTTGTGAGGTATCAGGCCAGACTTCTGAGAATTAAAATGCTCAAATATGAAGACATTTGCTTACTGCTGGAGTGGCTTTATTGAATACAGGATAAGGAGGGTAGGCAGGCCTGTGTTAGAGGAGGCATGTGGGACACAGGTTTACATTCCATCAGAGAGATTCCTGGGTGATTGGGCTAAATAATACTGAGCTGGGGCCACATTTCTGTTCTTGAAGTAACACCTTGTTTAGGTACCAACTGAAGAGCTGAAGCCCTGAAACTGGACAGGTGGTGAGGGTTCAGCAGGCTTTAGCTGTGTTAGCTGTTTTGTATTAAAGAGCTTTTACTTCACATGATGGATCAGTCAAATTGAAAAGAAAGTCGTATTTAACATGTGTATAATATACTTTGGTGCTTTGCAGACAAAGATAAGATAGAAACATGAAACTAGCCTGAACTGTAAAACGGTAAAGCTTTCACAGACCACGGACTTATTCTAAATCTCAATTTTTCCTGTTTGGATGTATTTCCTTACCTTCCTTTTACATTTAAATAACTAAAATTTGTAGAGTGCCACAGTGCCCAAGGTTCTGTAACAGGAGCTTCTGTTGATGGTTTTGTTGTAGATGGCTATTCCTATGAAAGGGAAGCAGTGGAACACTGGATCAGCAATAAAAGACGATCTAGTCCCATGACCAATCTTCCCCTCCACTCCCTTATGCTCACACCAAACAGGACACTAAAAATGGCCATCACTCGCTGGCTGGAGACTCAGCAGAAATGTTAAACCACTTCATTTGGAATTCTGTGTAGCTAAAGGAACTAACTGTATCAGAAACAATTGGGAAAAAAAGTTCTGTTCTAATCTGTGTCTCTTTCAAAGAAAACCTTCACTGGTGGAAGCTCCCAGAAGAAATTTTTAAAGTTATTGGTTCTTTTTCCTTTGTGGTAGATTTCTCTTCAAGAAATTAAGTAATAACAGTTTTTCAAATAAAGTTTTCTTAAAATTTTCACTACATTTATGACTTCTGAGTCTACAGTCTTTCAGAAGGTAAGAAATAGCAAAGTATAGGATCTAATATCATTCTATCCCATCAGGGACTGCATCTCATCCCGCAGGTATATTAATCATCTTTATTTTGTATGGAAAAAAATACAGTAGCTGTGCAAAAATAGAACTACAGGACAGGACTAATATACGAATTGTACAAAATATCAAAGAACGGGTAAACAATAAATAAGCTAAAGCATAATGATGCAAACTCCAAGAGGACTTGTAGAGCTGGGTACAGCTGTTGACATGGACACAGAGCACTGTAACCAAGCACGATGGGCAGAGCGTAAAGCTGAGCTCTCCAACTGACTTGCACTTGTCGCGACGTTCGCTGCAGACGTTCCTTTTCAGAACGTTCTTGCCAATATAAAACTTGATTTCCTCCAAACAAACTTCACAGCTTCATCCTGTCATGCAACTGCACATACACTTTTCCTCAAACTTTCATCTTCACTCCATCCATTTCTTGGGTTTCCCGTAAAAGCACTCACTAAGCATTTAACTGCTGTACCTTTTCACAAATAAACAATAAATCATTTTGCTTTAAGATAGCACCCAAAGGTGATTAGATAACCTATATAAAGTGCGATTATTGTTAATAGGCCATAATATTGTGTTCTTCAGTGCAATAACCAATATGGTCAAAGCTTCTTAATACACATGCAGATGTCACTCTTTATTTTATTTGATTTCTCCTAGTTACCAAAAATAGTTATATTTACATGTCAAAACATGGCTGCTTATAGTTTACTCATACACAAATTATTTATGCTTCCTAAATGTACATCATGCAACAAATTAGATCCCGCTAGAAAAGTGATAAAATACTATCTTTGATTTAAAAAGATGCATGCATGTACAGATCTGAGTATTCTGCAGCAGATTATCTTCCTTAACACTACTGTGAGAAGTAAGCACTTAAGCACTGGAGAGGCACAAGTATTATGTGTGAGATGTAGCAGAACCAAAAGCCAAGACTGAAGCCCTACGTGAGAGGAAACTCTTATTTAATGGTAAAATGTAATGGAAAGGATTTCTCTGCTCAAGGTCGTACTCTGTTGGTTGGATAACCCTAATTGACTCTAGAGAAGTCTGCTGTTCCAGTTACTGTCACTGTCCTGTGCTGGTAGGAGCAGTTTGAAGTGGTTGTATCCCAGTATGGACTGGCCGGCATGGGCTGTTCCCTGGGAGCCAGCTGTGCCAGCCAGTGAGCGTTGTCAGAGCAGTCACCTGTGCTGTGCTGAGCCAGGTTTACCCTGTAAACACCCAAAGTAGGATTTATACATTTGATTCAATGAAGGATCGCTTTGGTTTCGCCGTGTGGCTGAGGTGCCCGTCCTGGCTGTTGTGGGACAGGGGTTTGGCTGCAGCATCAGGGTACAAATGAGAACCTTGGCTGGGAGATTTGTCTGGAGAGCGGGGAGGGACTGGGCAGGGGAGCTCCTCGCTGTCTCTCGCTTGCACACTGCTCTGGTTGCCATCTCCCGGGGCAGCAGCCACAGAAGGGATTTTAGTTTGGTAGTGTTTCACTGAGAACTGCTCCAAGTTTGAGGGCTGGAGGCCCCCAGGAACAATGTTTGTGGATAATCCATCTGATGCCTGAGCGTGCCAAGTGCGACTGGATTGCATATTTTGCTGCTGGAACCTTGCAGTCTTGTCCGTGATTCCCATAAATGGAGTATTGCGAGGTCGGTGCTCAGTACCCTGAACCTGACTCATGTTACTCTCCTTGAGTCGAACATCAGGGCCCAGCCCCTTGACGCTGCCTGAAAAGCTGCCGGCTGAGCTGAAGCTGCTGGCTGAGCTGGCCAGAATCACACTGCTGGATGGAGAGCTCGAAGAGGCAGCACTGGGTCCAGGGCTTTGCTGCCTCGTGTTACTGAAGTTCATCTGAGCAGGGGCTGTTGACCTGTCTGCATGTTTAGACTTGCTGGCAAAAGAATGAGAAGAGAAAGTCTTGTGATGCTGTGGATGGGAACGCTGGCTGGACATGAACTTCTCACTGCACAGTTCAGCACTGGGATCTGTGGAAATGCTTCCAGATGACAATGTGCTTGTCCCATCCAAATGCTGACTTCTAGAGTGTGGGACAGGCAAGGGACTTAGAGGAAGATGCTGCAAAGATGGTTGTGCCTTTGTATTACCTTGACTGCTTCCTGGTTTAGATCCAGGCTGGATAGAGCTCAGGTGCTGATTTGTTTTTACAATCTGTGCCTGCTTTGTTGGCTGCATGATCAAGCCTGGCTCTCTCAGGTACTTACTGTTTGTTGTGCTCTGAGGGGACACAGACCGAGCTTTCTGCTGAACACCTTCCTGAAGGGTCCTGCTGAACGATGAAGCAGCTGAGGAACATTGCAGCCTTTGTGGCAGGGAAACAGATTCACTGGGGTGTGACAGTTCATCCTCCCTGTCTCGAGGACTGAAATTCTCCTTCACACCTGATACAACCCCCTCCTCATTGTCGGAGTTGTTGGTTTGCTCCAGTAGCTGTGCAGACTGATGTTTCTGTTGCTGTGTTCTCTGCAACTGTTTGCATTCTTCTTCCACCCGAGTCAGGAGACGTTTTATCTCCTGATTGCTGGGACACAGCTGAGTGGCTTCATGTAGGTCAGCAAGAGCAGCAAGTAACTTTCTGTTTAGGAAAAAAAGAGTAAACAATGAAGATCCAGGGCAAATCTGAGCCCCAGCATTGCCTATTACTAATCCACCTCTGTCACTTGCAGAGAAATATTCTGATGTGTTGTTTCCTGCTGCAGATGGTGACAGTGTAAGAACTGGATGTTCTCCACCTCAGGAAATTCTTCCCTCTGGTGGAACCACAGACCCAGCCCTAAGGCCTTCCCCGAGTGTCATGACAGCCTGTGCAGGGGGGCAGCAGAAATCTCTGCTGGGAACAGTAGGAACTGACATTTATCTCACAAGCCCTTCACAATTACCTCCAGAGTAGGGAACCTGCTGAACTTCATGACTACTGAGCTGTTTAGACGAGACACTGTGAACGAAAGGCACCTTTCCTTGTACTATAGCTACCTCTATAGTTTGGCATTTTTCCAGACTCCTCCTCTCTCCCCTTGTTTTTTATCTTCAACTGCTAATGATTCAACATACCCTGTCCTATAAAAGCAGCCATTAATAAATGATAAATAAACTTGGTAATAAATAATGCAGTGATAGGATTGGGTGGCACATTGTTGGTCACATTCTGCTCAGTCATGTCAGTAGCAGACCCACTAACTCTTACACTTAAAATAATCCCTCTTCATATCAGTTTGTTACTTTGTGGACTGCCCAGTGATTACCTAAACAAGTACTCAGTATTGCTCTTTAGGTGTGGTTGGCTTTAAGTGATAACAGCAACCTAATACAGATGGAAAGCGCACAAAATAAAACTTTTTCTTTGCAAATTCCACACAGAACTAGCGGCAGAGAACAAGTTATTAAAAATGTTAGGTTAAAAAAGAATCTGTGCAGAGAGACACATAAACAGTACCTGCTGTTCCTCTTGGCTCTTGCTCTGGCGTAATAAGCTTCGTAACACCTGGGCTTCAGATCCAAGGCTTTGGTAGCAAACTCTTCAGCCATACCAAAATCCTGGCAAAGAGCAGACACGCTGGTTACCCACCAGCAGGCAGAGGGAGCTGCAGGCTCTGGGGTCCGGTGCCCCCGGCACAGGCTCCGCCTCCCCTGGAAGCACCCATGGCACCAGGCTGGGCTGTGTCCTAACAAAGGGAGCATTGCCCATCCAGTCTACGAAAAGTACCACAGCTATCCAGCAGTTCATCATTCCAAAATAACGAGATGATTTCAGAGCAGCTGTAACAGATCCCCCACTGCAACACACACTCATCTTATGACCTGCCCATTTGCCAACACAACAAAGCCCAAAATCAGGGTACAGTGAAAAGGATTCTAAAATAGCACAAATATATGTCCACGTACAACCCCAGCAATGCAGTAGGGAAGAACTCTCAGATTCCCAAAGCCAGAGAGGCAGCAGAGGAACAGTAAGATCTTACATTTGTTTTTCGGCGACATCGTGACAGGTTCAGGTACAATGAAACTCTCAGCTCAGTGAAGGCTTTCATTTCCTCTCCAAATCCTTCCCTTGGGAACTTCCTCAAAGCGTACTGATAGCGCTGTGCTGCTTCCTTCATCTTGCCTTTCTGCAGATTTTAGGGAACAAGAAGCTTTTCACAAACTTTACATATTGCAGTACTGTTGCAAAAAAGCGTTTTATATTTGACATTTACCAAGAGGTACCCTTCAAGTAGAAAACAGACGGATTTTTTTTAAAAAATAAATATACACAGTATGGGCTATACTGCCAGACAAACACAGTGAGAGAACTTGCACACTGAGTACAGTTTGTGTTTGTTTCTGAGCTCAAAACATTTAATGGTATTTGACCAGGATAATACTTGCATTAATACTACTAGTACCAGAAAAAATCATCTATGATACATGCTTTTTTTTTTTTTTTTTAAACAAACCAGTAAAATATTAGATGAAGTAGTTGAAAAGGAGGTATAAAGAAATTTAATCTACTTTCAGGTAGAAGTCCAAGATTTTGTTATCATAAAAAAATACAGATCTACCTACTTTGTACAGTGTATTTCCTTCTTCCATCAGTTTCTGCAGCAGAATCAGGAGGATATCGGGTTTTGAGGTGGCCATAGCCCAGGCTGCATTTCCTGCAAGTTAAATTTTAGGAGTCTCTGACAAAGGGCAAGAAAATGTTTCTGCTTTCAGAGTGGAAAGTGAATCAGACTAGGGATCCTAATCCACTTCAGGAGATATCCCAGCTGCATGGAACTCGTCTTACTGTTCTCATCATCATCAGGATGTGCACTACATCTATTCCCTACCTGCCTTCTGCCCCACCACTGTAAAGCTCAGGCCTAAGTACAGACCTGTATTTAGTCATACTTACTACCCAAATAATACAAAATAATGATTCAAAAG